GACCTCTAATTCTAGTTGATGGTACAACCCTAAGAGCTAGATATGAAGGAAAGTTGATTATTGCTACTTGTCAAGATGCCAATATCCAAATTTACCCTCTTGCATTTGGCATTGTCGATGGAGAGAATGATCTAGCAATGCGTTGGTTCTTCACGAAGTTGAGAGAAGTAATTGGGAACATCGAGAACCTTGCATTTGTGACTGACCGGGGGCAGTCAATAATAAATGGTATAGCCGAAGTTTTTCCAGAAGCACATCATGGTTATTGCATGTACCACATTCAGGGCAATCTGAAGACTAGGTACCGGGGCAGTGGCATCGTTGCATTGTTTAGGAGAGCTGCAGAAGCTTACAGCTTTGAAGAGTTTACAAAGTTCATGGGCGAAATAGAACATAAATCAGAAAGTGCATGAGAATATCTATCAGATATGGGGGTCGAACATTGGGCACGGTCACATTTTCCAGGACGTCGATACAACATGATGACGTCGAATAATGCAGAGTCGCTGAATGCATTATTCAAGAAGGATCGAGAGTTACCGATTCTCGCAATGATTGAACATATTCGCAGCAAGTTGCAACAGTGGTTTTATGACCGACGTGAAGAATCCCAAAATTGCACGAGTGTGCTAGCTCCGGCACAGGAAGATCGACTATTCAAAACTCTGGAAGTGGCAAAAGCTCTATTTGTGGAACCACTAGATCAATTTCACTTCTCCGTGAGATGCGGGCGCAATGTTAGATACATTGTAGACTTGAATGACAATACCTGCACGTGCAGAAAATTTCAGTTGGAAAGTTTTCCATGTGCACATGCTGTCGCAGTGGCTATGTATAGAGGATTTCCACCACACAGCTTGTGCAGTCATTATTATATGACTGATTTTTGGAGAGCAGCGTATGCCGAAACTATATTTCCTCTACCAAATGAAGCCGAGTGGGAAGTTCCTAATTATATTGTAGCACTTAATAATTTGTTGCCACCTGAAGCTCCACCGCGTACCCCTGGTCGTAGACGGACGTCTAGAATACCATCTACAGGAGAGTTTCCACAACCGCGTAAGTGCGGGAGGTGCGGCGCTATAGGACATACACGTCGATTTTGTACAAGTCAGATCCCACTAAACAATGACTCGACGGATGTGTAGTATCTATATAAATCATATGTATTCTCTATTTGTCATGTGTTTGTGATTTTCTGAATTAAAATCGGATGTAATCTTTATCACATTGTTTAATTACTCTTTTTATTTTTATCACATTTGTCATATGTATTTTCTATTTGTCATGTATTTGTTTGTTTTCTTTTAAAATAAGTGAGACAACGATATATATTAACTAACAATATGGAGAGATTACTATTTCTTTAATTAATTATCTTAATTGGTGAAGTAAAAAAAATATTTCGTTAATCATGTGTTTTATTTATTTCATATTTGAATAATATTTATTCGATTTTTTCTTTTACTATTTCTTTAAGTAATTATTTTAATTGGTTAAGTAAAAAAAATATTATTCAATTTAATTTATTCGTTACATATTTCGTTAATTATGTATTTCACCCTGAGAAACCATGACAAGCACGTAATTTTTATTCAGCAAAAAACAGGTGTTATCCTGCAGGTTTTAGGCAATCATAAAGATGGTAAGCACCTTGTCCATGGCTTCCTTAGCCTTGATCCCAAGGGGTGATTTGGCAGCAACAGCAGTTCTCAACATATCACCAGTAGCCAAGTGGCACAAGCAATACTCATCCTTAATTATTGGTGACTGAGTACCTTTCCCTGATCCTGGCGGGCCTGAAAAGCAGATTACATAAAGTTGCTCAGTGCGTGACAAACAACTTCAAAATTTTATGCTCCAACTTCACAGTTTGCTAAGAAACAACTCTTAAAACATATGGATGAAATGACCATAATGCATGGTCCCTTGCCAATTATATTGTTGACCGTTTAATGTTAATAATATATAAAACACCAAGAGCTTGGTCCCTTTATATAATTGTATATACACAAATACTACAAAGTATTAGTTGAAAGTGACTTGGAGAATAATCCCCTCTCAGCTTAAAAGTTAAAATTGGCATGAAATTAAATCATTAAAGGACCAATAGAACCTCCTTAAATGAATAATGAATAATTCAACACCACTAGGAACTTGTCTCCCCAAAAATTCACTTATAAGCCCGCAATAGCATGGCTCATATTGAGAAAGAAAATAAACTGAAGTGCTGACTATGTTGCAAGGACACGAACACGCCAATGTGTGATTTTTCAGAAACGTAATACACGTACACATCAGTGACGGGATAATTTAAATCCTTTAAAATTGTAAATTAATACATAATATCTTTCTATTTATACTTCTAATTTTTTTTAAAAATCAATTCTTTTCTTATTTTTGATTTTTGTTCATGAAATCATTCAAATTGGCTAAGTAGCTATTTGTTATAAAAAAAAAATAACTGCAAATTAATCTAGATATTACACTACCGCCTACCGGGTTGGAAAAAATACATATAGGACATGACATGACACATGTCAGACATGCAGCGCCAGTAGGAGTGTCCATGCATTATAGAGTGCTAAGACTCCTCGTTTCTTGGACCCGCATTTCCCCCCGTTCATTTTCTTCCTAATGCTGCTACAAAATTAACTGAGGCACTATCTTAAAAAAAATTTAAAAACTTCTAAACTATTGACACTCGTAACCCTGAGAAAATTAGAAATAAGGTGCCTCTAGAGCTGAAAAAATAGCTTTTGGTTAAGACTGAAACTAGACGAATGAATCAAATTGAGACTTAGTTGGGGACATAGAAATGGGGCAATGTAATATGACTCCGTGGAAATGTAGACGAAAAAAAAATAGCCTCCCTCACACTTTTAGGACTATTCTATCCCCCCCAAAAAAACATATTTTCAGTTTCCAGTAAGGCTCTATTTGTCTAAAAGATTAGAAAAGGAAAATTAAATCTGCCTCTTCAAATATGAGTTGAGCATGTTGCAATCAATTGCAATATATATCTTCAAAACCTCGTCTTTCTTTCTATTTCTCCGCTCCCCAACCCAGTGGTGGGTTTCCCACAAATCTATATGTCTAGAAATTAGCATATACAAAGGGTTAAATCTGTAGCTGAAATGCTGTGGATTAGCATGTGCACAATAAATCCAACAATCTGCTTACCAAGACCCATACGTTCATTTATAGTAATTAGAAAATAAATCCTAAAACTTCCCCTCCCCCAATATTTTGGGTTTCCCATAAGTCATTATTTGTCGGGAAATTTTTTTTAGAAAAAAAAGTTAATTAATTAAAATCTGTTTGAGCCTCATTTTGGTGTAAAATGCATTTTGGAACAGTAAATTGATGGAGAATGTGATTAAAAAATGAGGAAAAGTTTTAGGGTCTGTCCACGGCTTTCCGCACCTCAACTGTAGTCCAATCACCCACTCCAGCATGTACTCAAACAGAACATAATCATTCCCCTTGCTTAGGAGCTCCTGATGCTCAATCTCTACGACACGAGCGAACTCAGCGCTCAAGATAACTCGAGTAGGACTGTCATAAGATCTCGGGTATCTCTGCGCCCGATCGCGTAACAATTCCATAGCCAAGTCGATATGCTGAAACAAAAAAAACACCAACACAAAATATAGAGTCATTTAAGTAAATGAACCAACAACTTGTATAAATATAATAAACGGAAACTCAAAAAACTTACATCATCAGCGAGCCAAGCTGAGGTCGTCAATACATCTTCAAATCACTTTTTAGCATTGGGCACGGTCATACAGCCGATGGTATAACTATCTCTGAAAAATGAAAAAACAGTTACCAAAGATACAAAAAAATAGTAGCAACATCATAAAATACTTACTCGGACTTAAGGGATTTGAACCAATCATCGAACGCCTTCTGTCTGACTGGGTCGACGTCGCGAAAAAGATTGGGGTACGCCCCATCCACAAATCCCCTTCTCTTCGCCTCGACCGTGTAGGGAGAAACGACGTACTGTGACGGCAATCTTGATCTCTTACCGACCATCAGCTCTGGCGCGTCAGCAGCACGCTTCTTACCCTTCGGGACCTCCGTCGCCCCCTCGGACACGAATACTACCTCGTCATCCGTCATTTTCGGCGTCCTCTCATCCTCCGCAACCTGATCATCCCCCTCTACTACCACCTCTGATGTCCCCTCCGCTACCTCCTCGACCACCCCTGTCCCTCCCTCCACCTCCTCTATCTCTGCCTCCTCCGGCACCTCCGGCCCGACCTCCACCCCGGGCATCCCGGCCTCCTCCGGCTCCTCCTGCCCGACCTCCACCCCCTCTCTCTCGGCCTCCGGCACCGAACCAAAAAACTCATCGATTCCCCCGGCCGTTGCCCACCAATCTCGAGGGACACCAGTCTCCCCGACATTCCCTCGGACGCCTGCTACATCGCCTCGAAGTGCTGCAACCTCAGTATGAAGGTCTCCTATATCTCGTCGTAGCACTCCAATCTCATCTCGCAAAGCTACTATATCTGTCATAAAATCTCGTCGCAGCACCCCTATCTCCTCTCGTACTGCGACGATCTCTGTCGTAAAATCCCGTCGCAATACCCCTATCTCCTCTCGTAATGCGACTACCTCTGTCATAAAATCACGTCGCATTGTTCCCAACTCCTCTCTAATAATGTCAGTCATGCGTGCAAAGAAATCATCTGAATGACGGGTCTGACCGGGTGTAGGCGATCCATGTGGGAGGTGGGTGGGTACAGGAGACGGAGATATCCTCGGAGAATGAGATAATGACGGTAGAGGCGATCTCATCGGTGGAGGTGACGGAGATCTCATCGGTGGAGGCGAAGGAGATATCCTAAGTGGAAGTTCCGGATGACGCTCCTACACAGAGAAGACAATTAATATTAATAATCCACACATGAATTTATAAGTCAAAATAAATAATGAACTTAAATAAACGTACTATATTTCTATCCGGAACGGACTCAAATACTGGATCGTCTTCAGTAGGTAGAACAAGTAATTCACGTACATATATTGCATCCTCCTCTTCCACCGAGACAACCAACTCAGCATGAACTTCGAGCTGACATACCATATTTCAACGTGTTAACGAACATGTATCAAGCCGAGTAAATGTATGTACAATATAAATTGCAAATATATAATACTCACCTGAGAATCGTCGAGGATAACTGTCAAATCTTTAGCCGATGGCTTTTCATGTGCTCGCCAATGAAGCATTCGTGGGCAGCTGGTCTCCCTTCTGATCGCCCATTTGCTACCCAAAGCAGGGATAGCCTCATATGCCCACAACTGCAACAATTACAAAATAAAACTTTACATATACATTTAATAAAAAAGTTCAACACGCATTATGTTACACTGAATATTTACCTGCAAAGCTATGCAAAAGCCATATACATCATATTTGCGATCGCCCCTCTCCGATTTCGGCATAGTGTGTACCCTTCTGAATACATGGAGAGTATCGGTGTAACATCTCTGACCCCATGGAAAGCTGTTGAAAGCATCGATATCATCAACAACATCCAATGAAAAAAGATCAATCGACGTCCTACGATGTCGACACCTCAATATACTCTCCAGTATATACACCAACCCTAACTTCAACTTGTCTAACATGTGATCGCATTTCCTAAATGCGTCCTCTAACTGTGGTGGTGTAACTGGCCCTTTACCTTCAAAATATAAATCCAATAACCTTTTATTTCGTATAATACGGGCTCTAGCTTCTTCTTCCCCGGTACATCTCAAGCCCGTAATCAGGGCAAATTCAAGGATCGAGAATCTACATACCTTCCCGTCCCCCATAGCAAAATATAATCGCCATCGACTGGTTTAAGCAGCCAGAGTAATAAAAAATCAACAATCTGTCCAGAGAACTGCACGTCCTTCAACGGATAGAACGACCATAAAAACGATCGACGGAGTAAGTCAATATGCTCCTCGTCCAGCCCCTCAAGTACTGTCGCATAGCTGAAAAAGTTACAATACGTCGTAACTTTTCCCAAATGAGCCCTCAGATCGTTGTCGATATGATATTCCATCCTACAAAATTAATACATGTTAAAACCATATAAAAGAAATTTTAAATAAAATATCGTACCTTCAAATTTAACCAATCAAATTTCATATTAATAAATCAATAAATAAATTCATCCAATCACATATTAAAACAGTTAAACAAAAAAATTTTCATGTATTTGACTATTTAATATTTATTTAAAAATATTTCGTTAATTATGTATATTATTTATTTCATTTTTAATTACTCTATTAAAAATAATAATATTTAAATCGATTTGTCATTTAACTATTTTTTTAATTAATTATCTTAATTGGTTAAGTAAAAAAATTATTATTCAATTTAATTTATTTTTTAAATATTTCGTTAATTATATATATTATTCATTTTTTATTTTATTATTTTATTTCGATTATTTATTTGAATAAAAATAATAATATTTATTCGATTTTTCGTTTCACTATTTCTTTAATTAATTATCTTAATTGGTTAGGTAAAAAAAATATTATTCAATTTAATTTATTCTTTAAATATTTCGTTAATTATGTATATTATTTATTTCATTTTTAATTACTCTATTTCGATTATTTATTTGAATAATATTTATTCGATTTTTCCTTTTACAATTTCTTTAATTCATTATCTTAGTTCGTTAAGTAAAAAAAGTATTGTTTTTTAATTTATTCTTTAAATATTTCGTTAATTATGTATATTATTTATTTCGATTATTTATTTGAATAAAAATAATAATATTTATTCGATTTCTCGTTTCACTATTTCTTTA